TCTCCTCTTCTCTTTCTCCCCCAATCTATTTCTGTCCATCTACCCATCCATCTATCTGTATGTCTATCTATCTACATCTGTATCTTTGGAAAGTCCTGTTTCGAGGAATGCCAAATGACATCTCATGATTTAGATGTTTCAACTATTGTGGATTTAACAAATCTAACATAAATCTCATGGCTGCACCTCATTTCTTATCTTTGAGTGAATTGAGTGTACTTTCCTTTTGAGACTGCCTTTCATTTATACCTGGGGTAAAAAACTCAAATAGAAATGGGGCCACTAAACCAGACACTAGGATTCCTGGTACTGCGTGTTGACTTAACATTATGTTCTGTTATATTTTTATATATCTTGGGCAAGTCACTTAACTTCCATCTGCTTCAGCTTTCTCAACTGTGTAATGGGGGTAATAATAGCACCTACCCCAGAGGGTTGTTGTGAAGATCAAATGAGATGATATTTGTAAAGTGCTTAGCACAGTGCCTGGCATGTAGTAAGGTGCTTAATAAATGCTTGTTTGCTCCCTTCTTCCCTTTCTTTCCCTTCCCCTCCCTCCTTTCCTTCCTTCCTCCTTTCCTTCCTATCATCTTTATACAGATGAAAAAATAAGGCTACACGAGTCATAAGTAACTTGCCCATGATCACACCCCTGAAAGCTACAGAGGTGGAATTCAAACTCAGGTTGTCTCTTGACTTCCAGTCCACCACTCTTTCCCTACACTGTGCTGTCTAGAATGTCTGTTCCCTCTCCTCTACTTGTTGAATTCCCATCCTTCAGTACCCAGGTCAGATGCTACTTTAGCTACCCAGGTCAGATGCTACTTTAGCCACCCAGCTGCTGTGTTGTCCGTGATTACTAATGCTTTCTCATTGTTCTACTCTGTCTACTATTTGGCCTTCCCTAGGTACTTATATTATAGCTTGTATTAAAGTTATCTGTGTTCTTGTTTTATCCTCTATTAGACTAAGGAGGGCCCTTCCCCTCTCCTCTTTCCCCAGTTCTCCTTTCTCCTTCCTTCTCTCTTCTTTTCTCCTTTGTATTCTAACAACTAGAATAGTTGCTTAAAATTTTCAGTTGTCAGCTTAATGAATTAAGTCGAATTCACCAGTGATCCTGAAAGAAGGAGAATATTTCAGGTAGCAACACAGAAGAAATAACCTGAACAATTCAATTAAACAAGCATTTATTGAATGCATGTGGCACTGTGAAAAAAATTTTTTTAACAAAAATAGAAATGATGAGCTATCCCTGTCCTCAAGGAGCTTACATTCTACTGGGGAATAAGTTGGTTTTCCATCAAGCTAATATGGCAAACCATTTCTCCCCTTACCCCCCCCCACTCCAATCGATGGAAGGATGGATACAAAGGCAGTCTAAAATTCTCAATGTCTTGGCATAAAAGAAAATGGAGAACTAGTAGGGCTAAGAGTTCTAAGAATGGCCAATGTAGATAAAGTTATTTTTAATTTATAAGGTTAAAAGGTAGGGATCTTTAAAAAAGGTACTTTGGCTGTGACCTATAGGTCAAGATTACAGGCCAGTGTACAGGTATATGGTGATTACAAACCAAATTGCGGACTCCATAGTATTCTTGGTTTCTTTTTGCTTTACTTTCTTTTTAAATGACTCTTGACTTAGGGAGAAAAAATCCTGCTCCCCATAATCAGTGTGTGCCAGAACATAGGAAGGCGTGTGTAAGTTGATTAATATTGGTCAATTATCTTTGTTATGACTCTTTAGAATGTAAACCACACCAGTGAGTCATTCTAGTCATTCTGCGGTTATAAACCAGCCATATACAGTTGGTCATAGGTTGCTCATCCTTGTTGACAAAATAGTTATACAAAGAACTTTTATTTTTAAAGCAACAAAAATAGGGTCATAGACTTAGGGGCTGTCTCAGCCCCCTCATTTTACATATGAGAGAACTGAGGTCCAATTAGGCTGACTTCCTGAGGTTCATGTAGGTATTAAGTGGTGAAGTCAGGATTTGCACCATATCACAAGGTTAAGTCTCAGTTTCCTCATATGTGAAATGAGAACAATCTTGCCTGCACTGCCTACCTTATCTGGTTGTTGTAAAACAAGCACTCAGTAAAACTTAAAGGGCTATGTAAATATAAGCTATTAGTAATTCAGCCTGATATTGCCTTACTTTTTTTTTTGGGGGGGGCAGCCATATCATCTTGTTGGCTTATATTAATCTTGCATTCAATTAATATTTATGGATTTGTTTTCACCTGAATTGTTATCTAGATACATCTTTCCATTATATACTTGTGTAATTGATTCTTTTTTAATGTAAGTGCAGGGCTCATCAGTTACTCCTATTAAATTTATTCTTATTAGATGTGCTTCATTTTTCTAGTCCATCTAATTCAGAGGTCCTGGGTATCACGGTGGATAGCCCGCTGGGCCTGAAGTCAGGCACTAGTGACCCAGGGCAAGTCACTTAATCCTATTTGCCTCAGTTTTCTCATCTGTAAAATGAACTGGGGAAGGAAAGGCAAACCACTGCAGTGTCTCTGCCAAGAAAACCCCAAATGTGGTCATGAAGGGTCAGACACTACTGAAAAATGATTAAACAACAGCAATCTGGGGTCAATAAACTTAAAAAAATTGATAGCCATATTTCAGTATGATTGGATTCTTATGTATTTTGCTTTATGTATTTAAAAACATTGTGAGGAGGGGTACATAGGCTTCACTAGACTGCCAAAAGATTCCATGACTCAATAAAAAGCTCAGGACCCCATATCCAGATATTTTTGATCTTCATTTTTTTCACCCCCAAACTAACTTTATGTGATCAACATATTTGATGACTGCCTGTTATATATTCATCTTAGTCACTTTTTAAAAAAAGAAAACGACTAACAGGAAAAGGCTTAAGAAAGGACTATATCTACCTCCACTAGAGACCTTTTAGAGTGACAGCAGTTAATTCATCAACATTCTTTCGATGGGTTATTGAACCAACTCTGAAATCACATTTCTGTGCTGAAATCACATCCCTTCTCCCATTCCTCCATTGTGTGTCTATAAGGATATTGTGGCCAACTTTGCCACATGCCCTTCTGAAATGCAGATGTGTTCTGTATACATCGTTTCCTGATTCGCCTCTCTAGTAACTATGAAAAAAAGAGGAAATGAGTTTAATCAATAACATGATTTATATTTAGTGAACTTGCACTGGCTTGTAATGATGACCATGTTCCTTTTTAACTATTTACAAACCATCCACTTAGAAATATTTTGGTCTCTGGTTTCTGGTATCCCTCTTTTTGAAAATCATTAGTTCATTGAGCATAAAACATTGTCTCATTCTCAGTCTTCCAGTATACCTCTTTCATTGTTTAAAGATTAATGAAACCTTTTGCAGTCCTCCTTAATCTTAGTGCTTTCCCTCTGATATTATCCCCAATTTATCCTGTATTTAGCTTGTTTGTGGGGGCCATCTCCAGTTGTTCTGATCTGTATCTTGCCATTAGATCCATATGGCTCCGGAAGAGAGTGAGGCTGGTGACCTTGCACAGCCCTCCCTCCCTTAGATCCAATTTACTTGCAAGTCATGGCATCATTGTCATGGTCCTCCTTGAGAAAGGAAGATAAATGACAGCAACCTATTTGTACTTAGCTATTTGCATGTTGTCTCCCCCCTTAAGTTATTTGCTTGTTGTTTCCCTCATTAAACTTTGAAACTCTGAAAGCAGAGACTATCTTTTACCTTTCTTTGTATCACCAACACTCAGCATGATGCCTGCACATAGTAGGCTCTTAATAAATGCTTATTGACTGATATTGCATTACTTTTTTTGGGGGGGAGGGACAGCCGTATCATCCTGTTGGCTTATATTCATCTTGCATTCAATTAATATTTATGGATTTGTTTTCACCTGAATTGTTATCTAGATACATTTTTCCATTATATACTTGTGTAATTGATTCTTTTTTAATGTAAGTGCGGGGCTCGTCAGTTACTCCTATTAAATTTATTCTTATTAGATGTGCTATATTTTTCTAGTCCATCTAATTCAGAGGTCCTGGGTATCACAGTGGATAGATGCTGGGCTTGAAGTCAGGCACTTAAGTAGACTCTTAATGAATGACTTATTGACTGAACACTGAAGGTGTTCAGTGATCACAGTAGTGATTATCCAGCATTTCTTAGGATCCTCCAATGCTAGGCATTAGGGATAAAAATACAAAGAATTATATTCGAGGAGCTTGTAATCTAGCTATTTACACATATGTATATAGGTATGTAGAATAGATGTAGGGTATTTGAAGGGGAGAACTCACCAGCATGTTTGAGGAGGGGTACTAGAGAATCAGGGAAGGCTGCATGATGGTATTTGAATGGAACCTGAATGGAAGTTAGGAATTTTAATTAGCAAGGGTGAAGAGAAAGTGCATTCCAGGCATTGGGGTAGCCTGAGTAAATGCACACAGGTAAAAAATATATATGAAAAAACAGCAAAAGGCTAGTTTGGTTGGACCATATATGAAATATGTGGAAAGAAATAAGATGAAAATAAATCAGAAAAGGCTAAGTCATAATGGTTTTTAAATGCCGAAGAGTCGTCTATATTTGATTTTAGAAGTAGGGAGTCACTTGAGCTTATTGAGAAGGTATGTGGCCTATTCTGATCCATGCTTTAGAGAGCTGTGTGGAGCATAAATTCTATCCAGAGAATAGAAGGAGAAAATTCTCACTCTTGGGTCAGATGTGTAATGTGAGACATCAGGGAGGCCTGTTTAAGTACCCAGTTTCACTGAAGGGATGTACCTGAACATACAGAAGACACAGACCTCTGCTCAGGGCACTTATGTTAACATTAATACACTTAGACAATTTTTAAGGTATAGATTATGTTGCTATGTGGAGTGGTTTCCTTGACTATGGTATACATACATATATATATAGTAATTTCTTGGAGAATGATGCATTTTTAAACAATAGAAGTTTTATCTCTGTTTTATTTTCATTTTGCAGGCAGAGACATTTGTTTGGGTTAACAACAGATCAGCTCATTCCAAAAGCGTTGCCAAGGCCAAGTATGAATTTTTATTTGGCAGACCAGAAGAGAAAGTCCCGGCAACCAGTAAGTATTCTTTGTCTTTTTTCACACCTTGATGCCAAAACCAGGATCTTTGGCAAGTTCCACCCATTCTCGTGGTGTGTGCCACTGTCTTCACAGAAAAATTTCAAAGGGAGAAGGGACCTCAGAAAGCATCCAGTCAGACCTTTGTTCATTTGTTCATTCACTCATTTATGTGTATATATAGGTATTTGTTTCAAAATAAGTTTTTATTGATGTCTTTGGTTTATTGTTGTTTAGTCAATTAGTCATCTCTAACTCTTTGTGACTCCTGTTTGGGGTTTTCTTGGCAAAGGTACTGCCATTTCCTTCTCTAGCTCATTTTATAAATAGGAAGCTGAAGGCAGAGAGGGTTAAGTGACTTGCCCAGGGTCACACAGCTTAGTAAGTGTCAGAGGCCAGATTTGACCCTGGGTCCTCCTGATTCCAGGACTGGTGCTCTATCCACTGCACCACCCTTTTGTTAAATCATTATAATCCCAACCCGTGTTTAAATAAAAATTCCCTCTACGACAGATCCAACAGTGGGGTCATCTAGCTTTTGCTTATAAACAAGACCTTAAAAGTGAGACAAACCGCTGCTGTCTGAAGCAATCCGTTCCGTTTGGTCAGTACACATTTGTTAAGCACCTGCTATGTGCCAGTCACTGTATAGCTCTGAGGATGCAAAGGAAGGCCGCTGCCCTCACAGAGCTCACCTTCTGATGAGGGAGACAACATGGAAAGGATGAGGTATATGCAAAATGAATAGAGAGTAGATGGAAGGTAATGTCAGGGAGAAGGCAGTAAGGTCGTGAAGGGGTGAGGAAGACCTCCTGAGCTGAGACATGGAGGAAGCCAGCAGCATCTACATGGGAGACAGCCAATGCAAAGATACCGGCTCAGGAGATGAGTGGCCTTTCTGAAGAGCAGCCAGTAGAGTAATGTCGCTGAATCATAGAATACCTGGAGGGGAGGACACACAAGGAGACTGGACTGGTAGGAGGAGCTAGGAAGAGCTTTAAATGCCAAAGAGAGCATTTTATATTGGATTATGGAGGTAATAGGGAGCCACTGGAGTTCACTAACATTGTCAATTCAGCATTTTAGAAAAATCACTTTGGCAGCTGGCTGGAATTGGAGACTTGAAGCAAGGATGCCCCATTACAAAGCTGTTACAGTAGTCCCAACAAGAGGTGATGAGGGCCTCAACCAGGGTAGTGACATTTCACTCTTGAATAGCTTTAATGGTTAGGAAGTTATTTTTTCCCCTGTATGTATAGTCAGATCTTCCTTTGTTATTACTAAACCATGGAGCCTTCTGTTCAGTCAGTCGGTAAACATTTATTAATTACCTGCTATGTGCCAGGTACTGTACTAAGTGCTGGAGATACAAAGAAAGTCAGAAGACAGGCTTTGTCCTCAAAGGGCCCACAGTCTAATGGGGGAGATAAGATGCAAACAAATATGTACAGACAAGCTGGATACAGGATAAATTGGAGATGATTAAGAGAGGGAAGGCACTAGAATGAAAGGGGACCGTGCAAAGCTTCCTATTGGTGGTAGGAGTTTAGCTGGGACTTGAAGGAAGCCAGGGAAGCCAGGAGATGGAGATGAGAAGGGAGAGCATTCCAGGTATAGGGAGACACCCCCCCCCCCCGAGTCAAGATATGGAGGATCTTATTTGTGGAAGAGCAAGGAAGCTAATGACATGGAATCACATAATATGTAGGGGGACTGGAAAGGTGGTGGTGGTGGGGAGGCAGGTTATGAATCTCCGTTCTTCATAGGCTTCCATTGTATTAAACATGAAATTTACGTTAAATATTAAATAAGGGTGTGTCTCTTAGCATCAGTGGAAAATGAGAACAGCTTGTACAGGATTCTTCCAGTTTTAACTTCAATGTCTGAATTCAGAGAGAACACACTTCATAATGAACCCTTTAAAAATAACACAGAGCAAGACCCAGAGCGAGTTAAATTCTTGCTAACTTTTTACTGTTTGGGGGTTTGATGACTAGGATGAGGAGAACAGCTAATAGCATTACTGTGAGGTTTAAGTGGAATAACACAGAAAAAGAGCTGTGAACAGTTTAAAGGGCTGTATAAATATTATTGCTTACCTCCCTTAAAACTCATATTTTTTAATAGTGACTCTATATACAAAGACGTAGCTTTTTCATAAGTCAAACATAAGTCAGATGGTTAAATTCAGTCAGTCTCTGTTTTGCTACTTAATACTCCTGTGACTTTGGGTGATCCACTTACCCAGTGCTGAATGTCAGTATTCTCAGCTGTAAAATATGGGGCTTGGCCTAGATGATGTCTGATGCCTCTTCTGGTTCTTAATTTTGATCCAGAGTTTTCAAAGTTCTTCCCCCTGCTCCCCACATCTTTTTCACTCCCTTGACAAATAATGATTCTCTACTGTGTACACTTCCTTTCACTTTCACTGAAGTGAATGAAATTTTTACCGACTCAGAGAAAATATCAAAAGTTTGTATTCTTCTCTTGTTGATAGAAAATCCCAGGCTCCCTCCTGGCACTGTTGAACTAATAAGCTTCTAGTAGTTTTCCCTTAGGGGAAGACAGGTGGTGCAGTGAATAGAGTGCTGGGCCTGAAGTCAAGAAGACACATTTTCCTGAGTTCAAATCTGACCTCAGATACTTACCAGCTGTGTGACCCTGGGCAAGTGACTTATACTGTTTGCCTCATTTTCCTCGTCTGTAAAATGAGCTGGAAAAGGAAATAGCAAACCATTCCAGTATCTCTGCCAAGAAAATCCCAAATGAGGTCATGAGGAGTTAGATATGATCAAGTTTTCCCTTCTTTAGTTCTTATATAATATTTCATTTCAAAACAGAATTTAACTTCTTAGGTGGTTGTTATCTGTTTTCCTTCAGTGAAGGAGCTGTAGTGGTATTTTTGTTTCTAGGGTGATATATTACCCCTTCTAGGTATTCATTGATACATTTGCTCACTGAAAAAAAAAAGAGCATTTGTTGAGTACCTACAGTATACAAGACAGTTTTAAAGGCTATATAGAACTATAATAGGCTGCTCCCTAGCTTATGATCTAATAAGTGGTTTTAAAAAGAACCAACTTTAGTACAAGGCAGTCTATGATGCATTTGTGTGACTTGGGGCTGAGAGGGTGTTTGTGAATATAAGATGGGTTTTTTTTAATGAAAAGAGGTATCGGGTAGAAAATTAGGAGACCCAGCTTCTAGCCTGTCATTCTCTCACTAGCTGTGTGACCCTGGGCCACAAAGTAAGATGAGGCAATTAGACCAAGTCATCATTAACACTCCTTCTAGTTATGTTTTCTGACTCCAGAGTAGAGATTGCTCACTTCAGTTGGAACTTTCGCTCCAATACTTGCTGGCTGTGTGATGATGATGATGGGCAGGTCATCCCCTGTAGCTAGTTTTCTTATCTTTAAAAGATGGGTAATATCTGTAGTACCTACCTCAAAGGGTTGTTGTAAGGATCAGATGGGATGATTTGAGCATAAAATGAGATTGTTATATAATAGAAAATACTCTGAGTTTATAATCTGTAGAGATTTGCTTTCAAATCCTGCCTTTGACATTTTGTAGCTATGTGACATAGATTGGAAACTTGATTTTTCTGACCCTTATCTCTTGTACTTAGTATCACAGTCATAGTGAGTATCAAGTGATACTATGTATGTGAAGTATTTTGTAAATCCTGTTGTACTATATAAAGTCTAATCCTTTCAATTTTTAAAATTTGTTCTTTGCAAATTTTGAAGTACTATATAAATGTTAATTGTTCTTATTACTAGATACATGCGAACTATTAACACCCTCATTTTAGACATAAGCAAATGGAGGTTCTGAGGTGCTATGATTTGCCCAGGGAAATATGGCTAGTGAGTATCAGAAAAAGGGTCTTGAACATGGGTCTTGGGATTCCATGGTCAGGGTCCTTTCTTTCTTTCTTTCTTTTTTTTTTTAGGCAGTTGGGGTTAAGTGACTTGTCTAGGGTCACATAGCTAGTAAGTGTCAAGTGTTTGGTCTGAGGTCAGATTTGAACTCGGGTCTTCCTTACTTCAGGGCTGGTGCTCTATCAACTGTGCTACCTAGCTGCCCTGTGAGGGTCCTTTCTGTTAGACCCTATTCTAATTAGTAGAGGGTAGATTGGAGGAGTGAGTCAGGAGGCAGGGTTTTTCCGGTGCCTCCAAAGTCAGCATCCTTTCCCTTGGATCGTATTCCATCTTGTAGGGGGTAGACTGGAGGAGTGAAAGTTTGAAGGCAGGGTATTTCTTTTTTTGTTTTTGTTTTGTTTTCTTTCTTTTTTTAAAAATAATTAATTTTTAGTTTTCAACATTTACTTCCATAAGATTTTGAGTTTTAAATTTTCTTCCCCTTCCTCTCCTCCCCTCTCTCCAAGATGGCATGCAATCTGATATAGGTTTTACTTATACGTTCATATTAAACATATTTTCACATTAATCATGATATAAAGAATTAGAACTAATGGGAGGAACCACGAGAAAGAAGAAACAAAACAAAAAAAAAGGAAAGCAAATAGTATGCTTCTGTCTGCATTCAGACTTTTTTTGTTCTTCCTCTGGTTGTGGATAGCATTTTCCATCGTGAATCTTTTGGAGTTGTCTTACATCCTTACATTGCTGAGAAGCAGGGTATTTCTTGATGGGGAAAATGGAGCAAGGCCTGTAGCATGCCATTACTGCCTGGAGGGGGAGCAGATGCAAATTTGGATCATCTCCTAGAAACCACCCTTTCCTTAATTTCACAGATTTGTGAGTACATATACTTGCCCACTTATAAAAGCTCTCAGAGTTGCTTTATAGTATACCCATCTGTTAGTAAGAGGCTGCCAGAAATGAAGGAAGACACAAGGAATGGTGGTGGAGGGGAGGAAGGACTGTGTTGCTACTTGAACTTGATTGATTGATTCGCCTCTCACCACACCTGTCTTTAAAAACAAAACAAACAAACAAACATAGTCCCTGTCACCAGAGCATTTTCAGGTG